GTGGGTGTAACCAAACTGGGCTTTCTTCTTCCCTTAGGTAATTTCTGATGGGCTGCTAATGATGGGTCGTTTGCAGGAGCTGCCCAGTGCACCCCTGACCCGTCAGGCAATGAGCTGGGTGTTAAATTAGATAAGGAAGGAGAGACAAAGCCTTCCAGGCAGGGCATTGTTTCCTTTTCTTCACACCCCACACTCAGCTGTGATAACTCCCTCTGGGGACCACCAGCACAGTCCCACCCAGCCTGAGGGGTCACCTCTGCTAATGGGCCATCATGGACTCATTGACACCAACACAATGGGGAGATGCAAGGACCGACATCATCAAGGACCCCTCAAATGTCCCACGAGTCACAGGGTGACATCATTCCATTGTGAAACTCCCCACCCTGGGGGCGGTACTGAGCATTCCCTGCTGAACCTGAGCATATAAAGCCTTTGGGCTTTGGGACTTCTGTCACTACTCAACAGATCCAGAGGAGGATCAGAACTCCAACAGGACGGAGGGCACTGCTTTCCACCAGACTGTGACCATCACTTTGACAAGACTGTGACCACCACTCCAACAATCAGGTTTGGTTTTGTTTCCTTTTGCATTTCATTCAGAGGACCGTATGTTGCGCAGCACAGGAACTTATGAACACTGTTCTGTTCCTGTCCCCGGGTGCCTGGCTATACTCTGCCTTTGTGGATTAATCAGTGTTATTGTATTTCTTGTAATCTCTTTTGTGAATTCTAACTCCCACATTTAATCTCACACAGGGAAGTTAAGTGGGGCTCATTTCTCTGCCAGTGTAAGCCAGCACAATGTTTTAGAGGTTTTTCTAGTCGTGATACACTTGGTGACTTCTAGAGATGGAACTGGGCAAGAGGAACTCCAAACCCAGCATGCTCACCCCTTTTTTTTCCCTCCAAACCAGGATTTCCAATTCCCAAACATTGGCTGGATGGAGGAGACGGCTGCAAAAAAGAGGAAGACATCTCAGGABACCCAGGCAGGTGAGGAAGAAGTTACTGCTCCTTTTTGCACTCTTCTCCTCCATGTCCCAGCCCAGCATCGTCCCCGGCTGCAGGACAACCCCGCTGCCAACGCCGTCCTGCTGGTGATGGATTGGGGGGGATCTCCTTCCCCTTCCCTCTGGCACAGAGCAAATCCTATCCTCTCCTTGTCCTTCCTCCTCCAGACAATGAGCTGAGGATGGAGACCAAGGAGGACAAATCCCTCCAGCAGAACCTCATGGAAGAGGTTGTTTTGTGCAGCTCCAGGGCACAGGAATCCAATGAGAAGGAAAAGCCCCGGATATCTTGCAGAAGGAAGGGCTCCAAACCCAGGCCAGGGTGCTCTGAGTGGGGAAGACCCACCCAGTGCCAGGAAGGCACTCAGAGCTTCAGCCAGGGCTTGGAGCTGGGGGTCCAGGAGCAGCTTCACGCTGGGGAGAAGCCCTACAAGTGCTTGGAGTGTGGGAATAGCTTCAGCACGAGCACCCTCCTGATCCGTCACCGGCTGATCCACACTGGGGAATGGCCCTACGAGTGTGGAGAATGTGGGAAGGGCTTCAGTTGCAGCTCTCAACTGATCCACCACCAGCCCATCGACACTGGCAAGAGTCCCTATGAGTGTTCTGAGTGTGGGAAGAGGTTTTCAAGGAGCTCCACTCTTGTCATACACCAGCGCATTCACACGGATGAGAGGCCGTTCCACTGCCCCGACTGTGGGAAGGGCTTCAAGCACAACTCCACCCTCGTCACCCACCAGCGCATCCACACTGGGGAGAGGCCGTACGAGTGTCCTCAATGTGGGAAGAGGTTTCAGAGCAGCTCAGATCTCCTCAAACACCAGCGCATCCACACTGGGGAGAGGCCCTATGAGTGTTCCCAGTGTGGGAAGTGCTTTAGCCGAAGCTCTCACCTGACCCGACACCAACGCTGCCATCGGTAAGAGAAGCCCTGTGAGTGCCCCGAGTTTGGGAAGAGCTCCGTGCGCTGCTCCAACTTCATCCCCCA